TTCCCCCTGGGCGGACCTGCCCCCCCCCCCCCCCCTTAATTCCCCTAGCAACTCCACAGATTGATCCAACCCGTTCTTCCATCTTTGTACGCTCCTTCCTGCTTAATCTTACGAAGACAAGCTCCTGCTTTCTTGGTGCGCCCTGCACAAGCCGGGTTGGGTCGCGCTTAGGCCAACACCGGGTACGACGCCTGCTCCAGGATGCCGCACTCTCCACCCTCCTGGTCGGCCTCGCGCTTGAGCAGGATGTATCCCTCCGCACCCCACTCGGGGCCCCAAGAGTTCTTGACCTGCCAAGGGGGGAGACGCGGTTTCGGACAAGAGGGACGGGGCAAGAGCGAAAAAAAGACGGCATGGTTTCAGTATCAAAGGCACACCAGAGACGACAACCGCACAAGAGACCTTGTGTGAGGTCTGGACGCTACCGGTTGTGAACCGACCCCATGTCTACAGGCAACAAGAAGCAAGCTAGATATACATGAGCCTAATCCACTCGGTGAGAAAGGACTGCCGTCCATCGAGCCAGACGCAATCCCTCTTGTTGGCGCGGCGCCATATTCGATGTACTCGAACAGTGCTGCCGGTCAAAACTGCCCCAATATTCTCTTGCGCCTACAGGTACAGGCACCGTACGGATCTGAACAAGGCAACCCACAAACGGCACACGTGTACACCGACACTGACGGACAGTGACAACAAAAACAAAACGAGCAAATAGGACCGTGAACGCATTCAAGAGCAGCAAGCTCGACCTCTCCTCGCACCCGAGCGACAGCATGCCCACGCCGCGATACGCCACGCCATGACACCCCGCGCACACACCTTCCAGTACTTGACCCCGTCCTCGGACACGCCGTACCCGACGAGCAACACCCCGTGGTCGAGGTTGGTTCCGCACGCGGCGGTGAGCACGCCACCCGAGTACAACTGGAAGCTCATCTGCATGGCACACCCAGACACGGAAAAACAGAGCGCAACATCAACCCGAGTTTCAGTACAGCGAGCATCTGGGTGGTTCATGGTATTCTTGGAGAAACAAAAGGAAGTGCATCACCATGCATCCAATCAACCTCTTTCTCTCCTTCCTAGAAATGTTTCACTCAATTGATAAACGCAAAGCAGTCAAAATGTCAACATATGTACGAAGGGCACAACAAGGCGGGTAGGGTGACTCTGTTTCCGGAGAATTAGCACCCCATGTTGAATCCGACGACCTCGTAACGCCCGAAAAACAAAGCCGAAGTCATGCACACAAGTGCACAAACACCTGCTCATACACCATACTTCGTGCGCGCTGCGCTACAAACAGGCGGAAATCGCGTAGGGACAACACGTGTACTGCACAGACACCTCGTCGCACCTGGTCAGCCTCGATGGCGATGGACACTGGCTGCTGGGCGACCGCCTCCATAAGAGCCTGCACGACGACAACAACAATCGGAGGTCAGGCTACCAGAGAACAGCTTGTGGTGTGGATCGGGGCAACAGGACAGGGTCGGGGTAACGCTAGTGGATGGATGGCGGGCCTCTTCAAACATAACCGTGTTTCCCTTGGGACCTAGACACCTCGACGCTGAAACTCCCGGTAGGCTGACGTGTGCACACCCCGTCAAGGTAACCCTAAAAACAAATTGCGAAAGAGAGGAAGCATTGATTCGGATGACTGAAATCTTCTACAACTGACATACCACAGACGTCTTCTTCCGTGTTGGAAAATCAAATGGATTCATTACAAGCGGTACAATAGAGGTCCCGGTTTAGTGCGAGTATGGCCCAGGCAATAACTACACCGGACCAGCACTATTCAAATTATTGAGAATAACTTGGAAATTCAGCGTGTGCCCGCCGAAAACATCGGCACTAAACAGGGCCCTCTAGTGTACTGTTGCCGTGGAGCTCAAAGCGGATAGCAGCATACTTCGTCAGGGGGGAAGGGAACGCACCTGCTCGTCGTCGGTTTCCACGTCAATCCACCTGTCAACCATCGTCCCCTCCACGACATCGCAGGTCGACTTCTTGCAGAGGTCACCCTCAGCGGTGTACGGGTAGTCCTGAAACGGTAACAACACATTGTTGGAGAGAGTTTGGTTAACGCAAAAGACAACAAGCGGGCCTGATCCGGTGTGGCTTGCAAACGTCATGTTCATGGTGCCCCGCGATTTGGTGCCTGGTAACCCTCAATAACGTCGCACAAGATTGGAACCCAATGTAACAGCCCACAACCGGTATTCCACATTAGCGTTTCTTCCCGCCGCTGCCTCACTTTCTCTGCCGCCACCGCAATTTGTTCGGGTGCAGTAAAAACGAGGCTGAAAACCATCTTGTACACGAGAGTCGACACGCTCATTGTCACCGACGTCAACAGACTGCCGTCCTTTGAACGGATCTTTCCAAGGGCGGGTTCTGTAGGGTACGGGTAATCTCTGTAGGGTACAGGGGGTATCACAGAACCATCCTTGATATTCTGTAGGGTACGGGTGGTGATACAGAACGCACAGAATAATCCTGTAGGGTACGGGGATGATACAGAACTTTCTGTGCAGATAGGGTATTGTGAATGGACGTCACAGAACTTTCTGTAGGGTACGGGGGATGATACAAACTACACAGAACTATTCTGTAGGGTACGGGGATGATACAGAACGCACAGAATAATCCTGTAGGGTACGGGGATGATACAGAACTTTCTGTGCAGATAGGGTATTGTGAATGGACGTCACAGAACTTTCTGTAGGGTACGGGGGATGATACAAACTACACAGAACTATTCTGTAGGGTACGGGGATGATACAGAACGCACAGAATAATCCTGTAGGGTACGGGGATGATACAGAACTTTCTGTGCAGATAGGGTATTGTGAATGGACGTCACAGAACTTTCTGTAGGGTACGGGGGATGATACAAACTACACAGAACTATTCTGTAGGGTACGGGGATGATACAGAACGCACAGAATAATCCTGTAGGGTACGGGGATGATACAGAACTTTCTGTGCAGATAGGGTATTGTGAATGGACGTCACAGAACTTTCTGTAGGGTACGGGGGATGATACAAACTACACAGAACTATTCTGTAGGGTACGGGGATGATACAGAACGCACAGAATAATCCTGTAGGGTACGGGGATGATACAGAACTTTCTGTGCAGATAGGGTATTGTGAATGGACGTCACAGAACTTTCTGTAGGGTACGGGGGATGATACAAACTACACAGAACTATTCTGTAGGGTACGGGGATGATACAGAACGCACAGAATAATCCTGTAGGGTACGGGGATGATACAGAACTTTCTGTGCAGATAGGGTATTGTGAATGGACGTCACAGAACTTTCTGTAGGGTACGGGGGATGATACAAACTACACAGAACTATTCTGTAGGGTACGGGGATGATACAGAACGCACAGAATAATCCTGTAGGGTACGGGGATGATACAGAACTTTCTGTGCAGATAGGGTATTGTGAATGGACGTCACAGAACTTTCTGTAGGGTACGGGGGATGATACAAACTACACAGAACTATTCTGTAGGGTACGGGGATGATACAGAACGCACAGAATAATCCTGTAGGGTACGGGGATGATACAGAACTTTCTGTGCAGATAGGGTATTGTGAATGGACGTCACAGAACTTTCTGTAGGGTACGGGGGATGATACAAACTACACAGAACTATTCTGTAGGGTACGGGGATGATACAGAACGCACAGAATAATCCTGTAGGGTACGGGGATGATACAGAACTTTCTGTGCAGATAGGGTATTGTGAATGGACGTCACAGAACTTTCTGTAGGGTACGGGGGATGATACAAACTACACAGAACTATTCTGTAGGGTACGGGGATGATACAGAACGCACAGAATAATCCTGTAGGGTACGGGGATGATACAGAACTTTCTGTGCAGATAGGGTATTGTGAATGGACGTCACAGAACTTTCTGTAGGGTACGGGGGATGATACAAACTACACAGAACTATTCTGTAGGGTACGGGGATGATACAGAACGCACAGAATAATCCTGTAGGGTACGGGGATGATACAGAACTTTCTGTGCAGATAGGGTATTGTGAATGGACGTCACAGAACTTTCTGTAGGGTACGGGGGATGATACAAACTACACAGAACTATTCTGTAGGGTACGGGGATGATACAGAACGCACAGAATAATCCTGTAGGGTACGGGGATGATACAGAACTTTCTGTGCAGATAGGGTATTGTGAATGGACGTCACAGAACTTTCTGTAGGGTACGGGGGATGATACAAACTACACAGAACTATTCTGTAGGGTACGGGGATGATACAGAACGCACAGAATAATCCTGTAGGGTACGGGGATGATACAGAACTTTCTGTGCAGATAGGGTATTGTGAATGGACGTCACAGAACTTTCTGTAGGGTACGGGGGATGATACAAACTACACAGAACTATTCTGTAGGGTACGGGGATGATACAGAACGCACAGAATAATCCTGTAGGGTACGGGGATGATACAGAACTTTCTGTGCAGATAGGGTATTGTGAATGGACGTCACAGAACTTTCTGTAGGGTACGGGGGATGATACAAACTACACAGAACTATTCTGTAGGGTACGGGGATGATACAGAACGCACAGAATAATCCTGTAGGGTACGGGGATGATACAGAACTTTCTGTGCAGATAGGGTATTGTGAATGGACGTCACAGAACTTTCTGTAGGGTACGGGGGATGATACAAACTACACAGAACTATTCTGTAGGGTACGGGGATGATACAGAACGCACAGAATAATCCTGTAGGGTACGGGGATGATACAGAACTTTCTGTGCAGATAGGGTATTGTGAATGGACGTCACAGAACTTTCTGTAGGGTACGGGGGATGATACAAACTACACAGAACTATTCTGTAGGGTACGGGGATGATACAGAACGCACAGAATAATCCTGTAGGGTACGGGGATGATACAGAACTTTCTGTGCAGATAGGGTATTGTGAATGGACGTCACAGAACTTTCTGTAGGGTACGGGGGATGATACAAACTACACAGAACTATTCTGTAGGGTACGGGGATGAAACAGAACGCACAGAATAATCCTGTAGGGTACGGGGATGATACAGAACTCTCTGTGCCTCTCTGTAGGGTAATAACAGAGGGTAATTACCCCCGGTATAGGTCTGTGAGTACCCTACAGAACCCGCCCTTGGATCTTTCAAACGGCAACAAGCGAGGCACGACAAGTTCAGCATCCTCCAAACAGCAACAGCCTTATCACTATCATTGCAAGTGTGGTGAGCGCAAGCCCTCCAAGCTTCCATCCCAGTCCACCGGAAAGGAACTCATCCTACGAAAAAAAAGACAAAGAAGACGACCTCCGAACTACGTCACGTACCTCCTCGCTGCAGATACCGCCGTTCTGCTGGATCCAGTGGAAGGAGTAGTCCATCAAACCACCGTTGCAGCCCATGTCGTACGTGTCACAGTCCACTAGTTCCTGCGGGGGCGACAACAAACGAAGATGCACACAAAAGGGGGCGAGCGAGAACACGCATCAGACACTTGTGTCGTCAACACGGGGAGGTGGAAATGGGCGAGACATATTCGCCTGCGACACGCGCTTAAAGCGCTATACCGTCACGTCTGACACGCTGGCCTGGACTACACGAGGAAAAAGCGTTGTGCGAATGCTACAGAAGATGGACCGCATACACAGACGCAAGTCAACGCCAGCACTGCACCAAGTGAGCACGCTAAGGAACGGGCAAGAAACAGGGTAAGGCCTCGAGCTTCACACCAGTTGTCGCGTCGTTTCATGCTGGCGCACTACATGACGGGATTAACGGGGTATTGGTTCTTGCAGGGTAACGCGAACAGAAACACCAAACAACCGCAGCAATCCAGTGTGTGTGATGCTGGTGCAAAGACGAGCGGCAACAACCGCCCGTTGTCCATACATACCTGTTCGCTCAACACGGCAAGGTTGCCGTACTTGATAAAGTGAGCCCCTTCCATGGACCCAGTCGTAGAGAACGACCAGCAGCTGCCGCACGACCCTTGGTTCTTCACGGGGGTCACGGCGCCCTTAGCAACCCAGTCCACCTGAGCAGCAAAATCAAGCACAAGACAAGAGGACGTTGTTACAACCAACCAATCAAGACGTAACGCGAGTTCTTCAACCACAAGCACAACCTCGAGCCGGCGTGAGAGCAGCGAAATGTATTCGGGTGCAACGGCCCCACCGACGTCCTAGAATCTGGAGCCGGCTTTCAACGGCGGCCGTCTACTGAAGTTTCTTGTTGGCACGGAAACACGGCTGTCAAAAATGACCTCGTCGGGGATGGGTGCTCCCCTGAGAAGATCCTTGGGGGCCTTCTCCCCTCGTGGCCGGAGGGCGAACTCTGCCGGGAGTTGGTCGGGGGGCACCACCATGTCCTTGCCGATGGAGAAGTGCTCGCGGAACTCCTGCCACGACCTGGCGACAGGGAATAGAAAAAAGGCGGAAAGAGGCGGTTAACTGCTGGGGGCCTCTACATTCTACCAGTTCATCGCACCAGTAAACTTAAGACTGCTGCAGATAATCTCGCTCCCATCCTGACACTACCATCCAACCTCCCGGCTCAGCAGCACGCTCACACATGCGGCACCGATCAATGAACACCAAAACATCGACCTTCCATCTACACCCTTCTTTCCGTCTCTCACATGTGGGAGTAGGCGTTGTGGGCGATGGTGTACCCGGCGTCTTTGTGGTTGTGGAGAGCGATCTTGTCGTCCGCGCGGGCGTAGTTCTGAACGCAAGGCAAGGCAAGGCAACGACGAGTACGTTTCCGGGAGGTCGGCAGCAGAAAGGCTGTGTTGGTGACGACATTCCCCGACCAGGAAGGAGGGACAGCGTGGGGTTGGTTGGCTGCTTGAAAAGGGCCCACGGAAAGTAGGGAAGGCACGCAAAGTGTCGTGTGTGGACACACGTCTGCAGCGGCAGCAGCACAGAACGAACAAAGACAAAAGCCCACTCCGGGTGAAAAACGAACACATGGCGCAGAACACCTCAAGCACAGGGTAGCTTACAAATAACGGATATATGCGTTCGCCTCTAATCTTTCGGTGATCATTACCCATGCGGAGAGATATTCGGTTTCGATGTACAGTACTGGGTTTCTAGGTTTTTGCCAATAGCAACCCATGAAGCGACGACTCTGCCATTCCTTCGTCGTTGACTTTTACCCCCGGATTGTCACCCATTGGACAAGAACTTGTCTCTGCAAAACAAACAGGAACAACGCCTCCCGCGGGGATACTTCTTCTTGCTCTTGCTAACCTGAAGGGCGTGGAACGCCTCGTGCACGCTCCCCCACGACCGCCCGTACTTGTACGTCCACTCAAAGAAGCCCAGCAGGTAGTGCGCCAGGGGGTGCAGCAGCTCGGCGTCCCCGTCGGCCTTCAACCCGACGCCACTACCGCCGCCAGCGGTGGCGATGGCCGGGCCCTCGGCGCCGCGGAGCACGTGCTCCTTGAGCATCTGGTGCGTTTGCTCGTTGCCCGCGGCGTGGCGGGGGTGGTGGTGCTGCACGCGGTCATGGCTGTCGTGGTCGTGGTGGCCACCTCCGCGGCCGTTAAACGGGTCGGGAGGGGCGTGCTCGAAGCGCGGCTCCGAGGAGGCCAGGGCGGAGGTCGCGGCGGCGGCGGCCAGCAGCAGGCTTATCGAGGAGTTCTTCATGGTGGTCTTCTTCAGTGTTGCTGCTGTAGTCTGCCGTGGAGGGAAGCGGTAGGGGAGGGTGTTGAGTGGGAGGCACATTCGAGAAGGTGCCATGTGGAGGGCTGTGGGCAATATTTTCTCCTCTACTTCCGAGAAGATGATTCCTGCTGGGAAAATGTTTGAGCCGTGCGTGCAAGCTGACCGGTTGACTTCCTCCGTCTCTTTCATTGCACATTTGCTCATGGCTCGAGAGCGAAGGTGGAGCTTCCATGATGTTAGTCAACATCTTCTGGGCCATGGTATGTAGCATACAGGTAAAGACGTGCACGTGCGTTTTGCTTTTCCGACAGTAGCAGATGCAGTGCCCCCGGAACGTCGCATTTGCCGCTCTCAGGGTTCTTCAGTCTTAACCCTCATCAGACCCTGTCATGTCAGTGCAAGGACGTAACTCCTTGCAGTTCCCGAAAGGGATGTACCAGCAACGTTGATTGGGGATGCCCAAATCAAAAGATGCGATACGTTGTTGGAGAGCTCTCGACGACACGGTTCCAACGCCGCCACTTCGGTACTGCTGTCTGTCACCGCTGTTTTCGCTGCAGAGTAATCGAGCTTTGAAAACCGGTCCAGGCAGTATGAAATATCCATGCAACAACAATGCATGCGCTACCCAACGCACTAGTTTTGAAGGGTGAGCCTTGAAGGTGTTGGGGAACGGGAAACGGCAATCCTAGATAGCCAGCTTCGAGTTCAGCCAGCCCGCACTTCCTGTTCAACGGCAGTTTGTCGCCTTTGCCGCATTCAGCGCACCATTTCCTCGTAAACTGCTGTTCCAATCCCCGAAAGACGTCTCCTCTGTTGTATGCGCGTGTACATGATCGCCCAAAACTGCTGAGACGTCGTAATGAAAACCAATACGGCTGTTGTCGGCGATCAGGTCTACTTCACGTTGTTTTTTTTTGTGCGTCGCTCGTTGTCGCTACATGTACATTTTCCATTTTCAAAATCAACCATTTGGAAAGAAAACTGCTGTTCTACTAGGGTGGCGTACCAAAAGTACCACACGAAACAGAGCAGTCTGTGCGTAACTTGAGACTGCGGCACCCCGTAAGCCGCCGGGCTAGGCGGTTGCCATCGAGCATGTTCGGTTCCCACATGTAATATACTCTCCTGGCAACCTGCTGATATTTCAATATTTCATATGTGTGAAATCCCCCTCCTCTCCGCCAAATAGCCCCCGCTCGCGTTTCGAAGGTGTCAAGGGTCACATCACACGTCAGGAGGCTATCACCAGCAACGTAGATATAAGATTACGATACAACAATCGCAGTGTCGACCACGGTAGAACGCCTTCCTTGAAGTTCAACACAAATCGATCTGGCTGCTTACGGTACTTCCCAGTACCCGAGCGTGCTTTCATACGAAAACGGAGACAACACCACCAGCGACCTTCCTCATCAGAAAGAAACGATAGAACGGCGACCCGCCAAGTTCAACATGGGGCGATACACACATCTGGGACGTATCGGAAAGAGGATGCGCCACCGCCCTTGAAACGAAACCACATCGACAGGACAACACCAACACGCTTCGACTAAGAGGTCCGGTACGTCGAATCGGCGCCGTTCAAGCCCTCAGGCATCTCCCACAAGCGCACGAGTCGGAAGAGGGTGGCGGAGTGACGCAAGTATGTGATCTCTTCCGAAAACGAGGCGTCGAAATGACTTGATGTCGAAACTACCAACTGCTTGCGCCCAAGGGCGTGGACGTTGTACACGGACAGGTATCTGGCACCAGGGGAGCCTTGTCAGCAGAGGCCCGCGGTGCGGAGTGACCTACTTCTTCGGTCGGCACGGCATTCTCCCAAGAGAAGAGAGGGCGTGCAGGAAGACGCAATATATTGGCAACACGTGTTGTTCGTCTACTTGTACACTTCGAAAGAACTTGTTGTAGAGATCGGCTCTCCACGGACAAACCAGATCCTTGTTGCCTAGGACAGACACGGTACTGCGACAAACCGCTGCTGTCTTTTGATCTACAAGGTGAGGGCATCATCACGGGCCCGCTTGGTACAAGCAACGGCACCTTGACACCGGACCACCATGCCAAATCGCTTTCGTTGGAATAAGAGTCGGATATTTAGTTGTTCGACTGAGACAAAAGGGACCTTGCGAGCACGAAAGGGTCGAGAGGCAGGCCTGTCTACCGATCGAGAGGGCACGCACGGGAATAGATTACTTTGTATGTCCAGAGGGGAGGGAGGGAGAGGACTCACATGTCGTCTTAGGAGTAGCCGTTGTCTTCCGGGGAGCGCGTGGGTTGTTGTGCCCGCGGGGTATAAGCGAGAGTGAACGCCTGCCAAGTCAAGGGCGGGGAGAGGGGAAGAATCGAAGGGGTGTATCCTAATGACAACCGCGGGGCCCCTCAGGATTCGTGCTTGCGTGGCCGCGCATGCAACAGGCAAGTCTGGTATCCAAGGTGCAATCTCTCCGACGCAATCTCACCCCAAATGCTCGGCAAGTGGGGAAGACAGCTAGCTAGGCGAAACGCGGGAATTGTAATGGTGTGCGTGTGTGATCTTCGTAGTAGTTTGCTACAATAGCCGCACATAGAACGGCCAGGGGAGCTGAATGGCTAGACTAATTATTGGTCTCTGACGATAATGATCGCCTTCTTCTTCTGCCATAATGGATCGGCTGCTGTACACGACACGATTATTACCTTGTTGTCCTCGACGATAATGTCCGAAAGATACAGCAGTACAGCATTATCTCGATTCTAACAGGGCAGCTTTTTGTCGCACTACCAAGTGTACACCCGCTTCTACATGTCTGTGTAGGTGAGCGTGTCCTCTGCCACGAGCAGGACGTCTCCTCCAACTTGACAGCAGTACGTTTCAGAGATCAGGTGGTTGAGGGTTCGTCCGTTTGATTGAACGGAGAGAATCAATGGAGCCTGGACGGAAGCCCCGCAAAGTCTTTTTCGATGAGACACCTAGTCCATGAGTTTCATTCAGATGACCAGTCTCCCTCTTCGCCCTCTCGCCTGTTTTTCGACAACAACCAACCGACACCGGGGCAGTCCTGTTATGTCTTCAGAATTTCAGTGGGTCAGATTTTGCCCCCGCTGAGCCCCATCGACAGGATGACGGAAATATGACGGGCACACATAGTAGTCCTCGCATAGGTACAGCAGACACATGCTCCCCCCACGTAAACCCCACGTGTGTCATGACTAATGCCCGAAAATCGCGCAGATCTCGGCACCCGGCTAAAATCTCATATCGCATCCGTCACACTGCCAACATGTCAGCACTCTGAGCACAGCCAGTCAATCTCATACATACAGGGTGAGTTTTTCTCGCTAATTAAATCCTGGTCTCCGTTGGAAGCGACGCGCTGCAAAGCTCGTTGTTATCGCGAGGGAAGGGATTGCTGTACCCTTCTCGCGACAAAAATATCTCAGGCAGGAACAGCAGGAGCGGGTCCAACCCCCCCCTCCTATGCCCCCCTCCTACGTGACCCCGGTTGGGTCGTCTAGCTGGTAGAAGTGGAGGATAGGGGCCAGAGGGGCAGACGACAGAGTCCAATGATGGGAGAAAAAAAAAATACATTTCGCCACGAAGGAGCGTTGGCGAGAGCACACCAATCCAAATGCACTGTACCATGTACTCCAAACAAGCACCATGAAGAATCGTTATGCTGTGCCGCCGGAGGCGGCTCTCTTTCTGCGTACAAGTGTGTACCCGAAAGCAGGCGATACAGCACACAGACAGACAATTGATCTCGCATGGACGTTGTGGAGGCGCGTGGGGTGCGCAGAGGTAAAGACGCGTGCAAATTCCAAGTGGGGATCGATGACAAGTTTGCACTTCATTCTGCATGTTCTGTGCGGAAATATGCGAGACGACGAAAACACCGACCACGTAGTCTGAATACTAACACAGCAGCAGCGACTCCTCAACCGCACACATTCACAGAAGTCAGGCCACAAACCAACGTCGAGTCGCTATTGTACACTCCCACATGCAAACGGGATCTGATATACAACAAGAGCAATCGCATGAACCAAACAGAAAGGAGAGCAAAAATCACGCCTCCTCCCTTCCTCTACGCTACGGCCCGATATCTGTGGTTACAAATAAATACAGGTACCGTACATGTACATACTCGCCTAGCGCTGTGCGGAGAAAAACAACCCGTTATAGATCATACCCAGTAGTACCAAAAAAGATTCCACGATCGATGGATCCAGCATGTGCTCCCAACCTTGATACGTCTTCTACCTAAAACTGTCTCCATATGATGCCAGTTTCACGCGCGACATGTAGGACCAAAATTCGGTTTCGCCCTATTCACCAAACAAGCAACTTATCGGCCTCAGCCCGTAGCGTAGACCATAGGACCCTCAAAAGTGATTGCCTCTCGTGTGATTTTTACAACTTCCGTTCACCGTGCGTGCGCAAGGCGGCGAGACTTCAAACTGACATTTCGCCCATAACGGAACCTCTTCAGCTCGCCTTCTTACCTTACCGAAGTTAACAACAACTGCTAGACTTCGCTTGGCCCTTCCTCGCCTAAACGGCTCTGGGGCATACTATAAACCAGCATTAGCAGCGGTGACAGGCTTAAGTACAATACTTCACCGGACCTTCGACCTGACTGGAGCACAGAGCTTCCGGATAGACTACCCAAACGCAATTCTCGTACAACTATTAGTTCGGCATGTGGGGTGGTGGCCAGCCGCTAGCCGCCGCGGACGCTCCCGCGAGTCTCGCCTGCGCCTGCCTTCTGGCTATTCTGTCTGTTCTCCGCAGGCCTGAGTCTCCTCTTCGACCCGCCGCCCTCGGGCCAATTCTGGGCTCGCCGATTTCACCACCACCACCTCCAACAATGCCCGTGGTAGGAGCCGCCTCAGAAGCTGTCGGGAAGCCGGGAGCACCGGCGTCGAATCCCATCGACATCATGTCATTCGTTCGCGACTGCTGCTCGTCGCCTGCCTCTCCGAGGATTGCTGCACGTGTACCCCTGCGGGCCGGGCCGATTTAGATGCTGGTTCAGAAGAATGGTAAACAAATGCCAAGCTCGGACCATCTAGTGGAGGCAATACGCTTTTCGGGAAACCGTATGGATTTCCAGCTTCCAGCCATGACTACTCCCCACGGCGTCACGTACTGTTTCCAGACGTCAGTGTTAGCGTTCAGCTTAACACGACTTCAGCATAACAGCACGTTCCTGCTGGTAGGAACTAAGGCCAGATGCAGAAACTGCCCAATTCTCCAGAAAGCTGAGCTCGGTGTCGCTCTGAATAGATTTGTGGTGCAGACTCGCACAACGGATCCTAGGCTCTTGCGAACGTTTTGTACTCCCTCCGAAGGACTCAATTCCAATCACCTAACTTACATGCATACCAGAGGGATAAGTTGGACTCGCCGTTTGCCTGATGTCAACTGATTTCGGCTAAAATGACGCTTTTCGCTCAAGGGTGCAGGACGAGGCGGGGAGAGTCTCTCGCAAGAATGGGATCTGCCGGAAGACGGTGGGACCGCACGCACACACACCTGTAAATCTTGATGAGAACGTTCAAGCGCGGCTGGAGGTTCTCGAAGGCCACCACCATCTTGTCCCGCCCCGCGACCACAAAGGCTAGGTAGAAGACGACTCTGTGCATGGTGATACCCTCGTTGATTAAGATGGCCTTGATCTTCGCCTTGTCCAAGAACTGAGCCAGAGCGAACCAGCGAGGATGGTGGGAACAATAGCACCAGAGGCAGAAAAACCAGCTGCGTAAGTAACGAAATGGAAGGCCTAGGGCAGTCAGTGGTGGGTCTATCGGCGGGCTACTTCGTGATCCGTCGGGAAGGAGCATCGGAGGTGACGACAAGCGTCACATGCTTCCGGGAGCACGAGCAACGAATAGGCATCGTGGGGGCGTATACCCCTGCGGGGAAACTTGCCCAGCTCAAATACCACCAAAACATTGGACGAGTTGATGTCTTGCCGCAGATGCAGCCTCCGACAAGACTGACTATAGGGGTTTCCACCGCGCCACAGCAATGCACGACTGCCAGTGCGGTAGTTGCCCCCCCCCACCCCTACCCCCCAGTGGTACTAACAAGAGAAAAAAAGGCCTGTGAGAGGAATTAGTATTAAGCCTCACCGTGCTCTTTTCTCGGCCGTCGACATAAGTGGTGGTCACCTGCACCCCCAGCTCGCGCACTACCAGCAGAGACTCTGTGGAAGGGCACCCAGAAGGACGATTGAAAAGGATCACACACGCGCGCAAATGGGTGGCACAAGGTGTGCTGTTGGTTGGTTCAGGAACACACGCTGCTTGTCGCCAACCATATTGCGGTGTTTCATTGAAAGAAACTTGCGCGCGTGCGTGTAGTCTTCAGCTACTACGAACTGGTTTCTTCAGCCCTTGTAATCACAGACGCTGCCGCGAGGGCATCGCTAAATTAGGAGTACGATGGGGAACCTACAGTATTGGTAAGATGCCGCCTTTCGAAGAAAACGCACGACAGCCTCAAGCGGTCCAAGTGCGGTGTCCCGCGAAGAACCCTCTTCGAAAATAAAGCCGACCACGACGCACCTTCTCGAACTCGAGACCGACATCCAAGAGACCAAGCCAGGCAGAATAAGGCTACGACGAGCCCGACACCTCCCAGGAAAGCCGACCCCTTCACAGCGAGCGACTGCTGTTGCAAAACAAGAGCCGAATCACACCAAGGAGGAAGCGGGGGGGTGAGGTGGGTGTTTTGGCTCCCCACGCCAAAACACCTGATGGCAGAATGATTGCTGCACTTCAGTCACACCCGGTACACACAGCAGGACTACCACCCGGCGATAACGTTGTAAATCGGGCAATTGCCAAAATGTAAATATTCGTATTTTGAAACGTTTAAATTTAAAGCTAGTACACCGGATGATGTATGTGGTTTATGTACGGTTCGCGTTTTATGTCATATCCAAGTCTGTTTTTCGTGATAGAGAACGGGATCGATCTGCCCACATGGAATCAGCACACCAGCACCCATCCGTGTGCCACCTGCCGATATTCTGCCATGTATGTAGGTGGCGTGCTAGAGTTAGGGGGCGACCCGAGAGATGTCTTCGTATAAAACAGTCTCCCCCTCCGAACTTTTGTCTAATAACTAGGTGAAGTTCGAGTTACGACTACTGCTGTGGAGGAGCGAACCTAATCTTTACTTGTACAGTAAATACCGCATATGACACAAGATAATACACCCCCTGGACCAATTTTCAAAGCTCGATTACTCCACGACGAAGAGGATGCATTAACGAAGCAATAAATTTTTGGAAAGCTCTCGACGAGACGGTTCCAACGCCGCCGTTTTCGGCGCCGTGTTGTTGAGAAATCGAGATTTGAACATCGGTCGAGGGGGTGTGTTATCTTGTGTCACATTCGGTTTAATAGTCGTGTTCCCGCGCGCGTGAACAGTACGAGAGTAAAGGTATTGCCGGGCGCCGTGCCATGCACAAATATTCCTAGAGTATCAGGCCTTCGCTGCTGCTGCCCGGTGTCTCGGTGTCATCCCCCTACATATACCACATTGGTCGCCCCGGTGGTCTGGTGGGTAACTTCGCAGCCTGCTAAGGGCCAGGTCATGGGTTCGAGTCCCGGCAGAGTGAGTTTTCTTCTCACTAAATATATCCTGGTCTAGGATGAAAGCGACGCGTTGCAAAGCTCGTTGTTAGTAAACCATAATCGACTTCGTAAGTCGCGAGGGAAGGGATTGCTGCACCCTTCTCGCGATAAAAATACCTCAGGCAGGAACCGCAGGAGGGGGTCCAGCACCCCTCCTATGTGACCCCGGTTGGGTCGTCTAGCTAGTAGAAGTGGAGGATAGGGGCCAGAGGGGCAGGCGACAGAATGCGACGATGGGAGAAAATAAATACAGATGTAGATACATATATCGGTCGCTCCGGTGATCTAGTGGGTACCCACCCTCGCAGTCTGCTAAGGGCCAGGTCATGGGTTCGAGTCCCGGCAGAGTGATTTTTTTTCTCACTAATTGAAATCCTGGTCTCCGTTGGAAGCGACGCGCTGCGCGCTGCGAATCTCGTTGTTAGTAAACTTGATCGACTTCATAAGTCGCGACGGAAGGGATTGCTGTACCCTTCTCGCGATAAAAATACTTCAGGTAGGAAAAGCAGGAGCGGGTCCAACCCCCCCCTCCTATGTGACCCCCGTTGGGTCGTCTAGCTAGTAGCAGTGGAGGATGGGGGCCAGAGGGGCAGACGACAGAGTCCACTGATGGGAGAAAAAAACAAAAACAGTTTCGGACTGGGGCTCCAAATGTTCCGGTTTAAGGAAGCAGATTTTGAGGTAACAAAGTTTCCTGGAAACTTCGTGCAGGTGACATTTTTCAGATTTAAGCGGCTTCATGTGATTAGCTGTGGGTCAGCAGTTCTCCCAATAACTTCCCCTGTCCGAAGGTGCTGTTGTTGACCTCAAGCCAGCCGGAAACAAACCCACTTTCTGACCGTGCAGCCTCCCTGTTTTTGTGTTGGTGGAGCGCCAACTCCAAGGCCTTTCGCTGGGCGCTGGCCTTCTCGTTGGCCGCGCTGACATGTTCTCAGCAGACTGCTGTGTGTGCGTGCGCTGGTGCGTGTGATGTGTTACTTCGAAGAAAGTTGCTAAATCGAAAAATCGTGAAATGAATTCCACAAACCAAGCTGCCCTCGGCTCTTAATTCTGTAACACTTTTTCCTAGTGTTGGGTTCTGGCGAGACTGTCAGGAGCGAACCTCAGAATGACGGCTTAACTCAAAATATGTTTCCTTATTTCGGAAAATTATTTGAGTCCGAAACTGTTAAATATATAAATATTAGAAAATATGCCGTACCCACACCGCGGATAACGACGGCAAGAGTTGCAGTCAATGTGTCAATGTACTTCTACGTAGTACCTGTCCGAAGAGGCTCGCCCCAGCAACCGCAATTGCCGCTCTCACCCACGCTCCGCCACACGAGTGGTCGCCGTCGCCAGGAGCGTACTTGAATTTTGTTGCGTTCTCTCCCAGTCTCTCGCAGGTGTACATCCGGGAGAGACGGACACACGCGGGGCAAGCGGGCTGTGTGCCGTGTGGTGTGTGGTGTGGCCAAGCGGGAGCCCCGCAGACAGGACTTTAGATAAACTTGGCGGGGGCGAGGGGTTGTCTCCAGTGTGCGCTCGCATCGGCAGACCCAGCAACAGCCCGCAGCCGCAGCAGGAGGGCGACAAAGGCCTGCGTATAGACTAACAGAGCTAGCATCTGGAGGTATCCACCGAATTGGTCAATGTCTCCGTTGAGAGGCCATGGCTTCCATCGAGCAGTTGGGATCTGCTGCTGTGGTAAGTCGGTCCGTTGTTTTCTTGGTGTGTCTGCAAAGGGGTGCTCTGTGCTCTGTGAACGGCAGTGACCGAGATGCACAGCGCTCTTGGGCAGCACTCCGTGCTTGTGCGGGGTCCCTTCACGTTGTGGTGGACGTTCTCGGTTACGACAGCAGTATTTGCATGTTGGCTATGACCATGTGCGTCGGTAGCGTTCAATTCCTGCTGATGTCAACTTGAACGCTATCTCAGAACTTTAGCCCACCGAAGATCCTTTCAAGTGTAGATACAAGTCTAGTCTATTCTCGCTCTTCAGTATGGTTCGTAGCTCAAGTGTGGGCACGATGAGCCCACCTTGCTGGTCTGCCAGGGTCAACTGATACCTGCCGTGCCAAGCACTCACGTTATAGGCTTATGCTTGAATTCAACTGGTGGATTCACACACTTGTTCCTCTCTCCACTCCGAATTTGTGAAAACAGGGGCAGCCATGAGAATCGGACTGTCTCTTTCTGGCCTACAGCCGATGCTAGCGAGTGCGATGGAGCTTGTCGTGTCTTCCACGTCCTGGGAGCGGGCACAAGAAGGATATTTCCTGGGAACCTTGTGAGTACCCACTGCTGATTGGAGTATCGCAAAGGAGACGAGTTTCACACGTTCTGCTGTGGAAATGAACCAGACGAGGCGTGCTTGCTCCAACGGTCGATACATATATACAGTGGGTGGCCCGATATAGTGCCGGTTGAATAGTGCCGGTTGCCGGTATAGTGCCGGTGTTTTCGGCTCGCACACACCGGAATATCAAGTCTTTCTGTACTCTGAATAGTGCCGGTGCCCGGTATAGTGCCGCTTTGCTCTCTGAACACATACCGGCACTATAGAGGGCCCCCTACTGTATATATATACATATAAATATATATATTTTTCTCCCATCATTGGACTCTGTCGTCTGCCCCTCTGGCCCATATCCTCCACTTCTACTGGCTAGACGACCCAACCGGGGTCACATAGGAGGGGGAAGCTGGACCCCCTCTTGCGGTTCCTGCCTGAGGTATTTTTATCGCGAGAAGGGTGCAGCAATTCCTTCCCTCGCGACTTACGAAGTCGATTGGGGTTTACTAACAACGAGCTTTGCAACGCGTCGCTTTCATTCTAGTCCAAGATATATTTAGTGAGAAGAAAACTCACTCTGCCAGGACTCGAACCCATGACCTGGCCCTTAGCAGGCTGCGAAGTTACCCACTAGACCACCGGGGCGACCGGTCGATATGTAAACACTCCGCTGTCGATGGTACAGTTCTATACCCTTTAGACGTCGCGATCCACTTGTTGGTGTCTCCTTTTCCGTTTCTTACTTGCAATCGTGACTGCCCTCTTGGTCACCGGGGGGTACTCGTAACGCAAAAAAGACAGATATTGAATACGGCATGCTGGGTGAATGACCTTCGTTCTCTATTTGACACTTCCGCTTCTTGCCACGGCGGTGTATCCCCGTGTCCTCCAGCCCCCGAATATCAAGCTTTCAACGCCAAACGGCCTGCCTTTCAATCGGGGGGAAAACTCGTGTCGGCCAAACTCGATCACGTTCAGCACGCTCTCTTACTCGCTCAGCACGCTTTCATACTATCTTTGGTCGCACACTGCAGGGGTTTGTCCCATTATGCCGGAGGCGCTTTTTCGGGATCGCCTTTGATGCTAGCGGCGGTGGCCCTCTGCGCGATGCTGCCCGCCGCCGTGCGGGCAGTCGGTGCGGCAGTTCTTTTCTGCGCCTTCGATCTCGCCAGCGCTCTCTTGCTTCGAGCTATATGCGTGCGCGCGGTGGCAGTGGAGTCGTGCGAATGGTAAGGAGCAACCGACCCCCGTTGCTGTAGATTGGGAAAGGAGCATCTTGTTTCGATTGCTGCTGTACTTTTTTTGTGTTCCCCAGTGGACTCGAACTCTTCTACGATCGTTCGTGAGAGACAATGTGGTCCCACGACGAAGGCGACGAAGAGATGGTGCTTAGAGTTTCACCTTATTAAGAAAAACGATCACGAATCTTGCGCCCCTGGCAAAGCAAAATGAAGTATAAAATACGAGGTTATCTCCCCCCTTTTTATTTTTCACGGTTGACCGCCCTCTTGCTTCCAGGGAAACCCAGCTGGAGGAGTGGATGGACGAAGAATCAAAGCCTCCGACGGACGACCCAGTCTCTTCAACAAGCATCGCGGTGGAATGTAACCTCGCCGGCGGTGCAAACACAAAACGACAGACGGGAAACGCTGCTGTATCCCGTGGAAACCCCACAGGTGTGTCTTCGGCCGGTGCGGGTGGCGTTGCGTGGGACCTCCCCGATGTCGTTCTCGCGGCCTACCTGCTTAACCCCGTTGTTGCCGGCCAGTGCGCCGCCCTGTCGGGCGACGTGCTAGGGCGCGTGTTCCCCTTAGCCGCGCTGGCGGCCGCAGGGTCTCGGCGACCGGGCGTCACTGCCGGAGCCCTCGCGGCGGCCGCCTGTCTTTGGCGCTTTTACGCCGCGCCGCTGCTACTGCCGGCGGCCCTGATGCTTGGAACTTTTTCCTGCGGGAGCGTCGGAGCCGCGACGAACAAGACTGGCGGTAAGACAGCAGCAGGGTTCGACCCTCGGTCCCTGAAGGTCGACGGCAAGGCGTTCCTCCGTCTTTCTGCGGCGTTCGCGGCGTGGTGCGCGGCCATACTTGGGGTGTGCTGGCTGGCCACGTCTCGATCATGGGCGTTCTTGTGGGCGGCGGCGAGGGGCCAGCTTTTGTGCGAAGACCTTACCCCTAACATCGGGCTGTACTGGTACTTCTTTGTGGAGGTGTTTCCGAGGTTCCGCGGGTTCTTTCGAGTCCTCTTCCTGTCTCAGCCCTACGTGTATGTCCTCCCCGCCACGCTGAGGCTCGGCATGTTCCCTGAGGCACTGGTGAGAACTTGAACCGAACGTGCGCTTCGGGTTGCGTGGCCATGTGCTAACTATTGTTGAAAATTCTCAGAAAGCGTTGTCCCTCTTTTGAAGTTGTACGTACGAAACGGGTCAGCTGTTCAGGAGTATCAATATTTTTCACGGCACGGCGAGTTTTTTCTCATGGTTGTGCTTCGCGTTCAACAGCAAGCACTGCGCCATTGCCGCGTGCTTGGTGCTACAGTTCCTGCCCTTGCGAAATGTTGTTTGTACTCTGGCAACCGTCGGTGACCTTCACGTAGTGAGAGTTTGCACCCTTTCCCTCCATACCCTGCTGATCCTCCCCCTTCTCGCACGTTCCACTGTTGCACAGGCGTCGCTCGTGCTGGCTATCTTCGGGCTGTTCCAGCCGTACCCCACCCTGGTCGATCCGATGCTGGCGGGGTGCCTTTTCCTGTGCCACCCCCGCACCTCCGCCCGCATGCGGCTCGTGATTCCCGTGGGGATGGCAGCCCTGGTGCCGGCCTTGCTGCTGCCGACGATGCGCCACTTGTGGCTGCAAGCGGGCACCGGCAACGCCAACTTCTACTACTTTCAAACGGTGGGGCTCAACGTGCTTCTCGCCGTGTTCGTGCTGCAGTTCGCCGCTGCGCTAGTCAAGAGGCGAAAGGCGCTGACAATGGCGTTCGAGAAGCGGAGAAAAGCTCAAGCTGCGGCGGCAGGGACCGGGGGTGGGGCAGCGGTAGCATTCAAGGGGGATTCCTGACGTTGTGGGAGGGATGGTGTGCCCGGATTTTTGGCCATGGCGCTTCTCTGTTGCAAGGGTACACCTTCTCTTCGTGTTGAGCACTGTTGTCCGGGATGGGGGAAGGGCAACCATGCGTTGATTATGTTGACGAAATACGATTCAACAACTACTGCTGTGTTTAGTGCTTTGGAGGACATGCCGAAGGGGATCGGTTGGTCCGACTACGCCTAGTGGCACGAATGGCGACAAGGGTGCACGAACCGATACATACGCATGTGCGCAATGAGTACATACATCGAATGCATCGACATTTGCATCGAATGCATCGACAATTGCATTGCGTGGTTATCGGATCAACTGGTGGACGACAGGTGCCAAATATAGGCGATTTGGGGGGGCAGGGCGGCGAGTGCTACGTACGCTGCCGATAGCAGTACTTTGTTTTAGTCTTGCCGCCAGTACAGGATTTATTCGGAGGGAATAACGCGCTTGAACGCACATTGCTTGGTGCCACACCAGTGATCAACAGATCAAATCAAGACCACGAAGAGCCTACATCAAAGAAGCCAGCCTTCGTCTTTTCGTGATCATCTGCATCTAAACTGTCAAACTCCGGCCGGTTTAGCACCCAAAAATTGCTCCTGCGAATACTGATGGTATAGTCTACACTGGCTACAAAAACGTTCCAGATCGATCTAAACTGCACTACAACCTCTCGAAGAAGCGCGACTCCGTGCCACACGATCCCCATCCTCACACTAAAAACACAAGACGTATCTTTTTGGGGGTTTGGGCGTGACAGAGTAGTGAAGCGAGCGAGCAATCACGGTACATAACACAAGATATATAACACCCCCTGGATCGATTTTCAAATATCGATTTCTCAACAACACGGCGCCGAAAACGGCGGCGTTGGAACCGTCTCATCGAGAGCTTTCCAAAAATGTATCGTTTAGTTTATGCATACTTTTCGTCGTGGAGTAATCGAGCTTTGAAAATTGGTCCAGGGGTGTATTAGCTTGTGTCATATACGGTAAACGGTAAATGGGGGGGGGGGAGGATCCCGCGATAAAAAAAAACAGACGAAACGCCTCCGCCACGAAAATCTCGAGAGCCGGGCCGCGCGCGCCGGAGCGTGCTTCTTCTTGCTCGCGTGCAATTGGAGCGGTGTGCGCTAGAACGTGTGCACGGGAAGGAGCTGAGAAGAGAGGAGGTAAGCACTGTGCAAGCGTTGAGCTTTTGCTTATGTACGCTCGCTCCCCTTAAAGACGGTATCGGTACTGATGGTAATGGTCCAGCGACCTCGCTGGCCGAACAACACACACACCCGTTCTTCTGCTGTCTGTCTGACAACGAGTCTCGGCAGTGGTAGACACCACCAAAGCGGAGTGAGCTGTTGCACGTCCCGTGCAGGCGGACGGATTGGGTTGCCCTGACTTAGCAGGGCACAGGGATTTGCTTGTTGTTGGCGTGGAGAGACCCCTTGGACGCACAAGTGTCGTTGCAAGGCACAAACTTTGCATAAGTACTTGTGCTCTGCTGCGTATCACGCCAAGACATGGACGGAACCTGCTGCACAGCACCAGTCTTACACGGAAAGCACTTGGCGGCGTTCCGCACTGTGCAGCAGCCCGCACATAGCATATCGATCATGACCACGAGAAAAGCTGACGCCAAGGTTCCCCAAGCATGCCTCAATCGCGGCGTTCGCTGTGGGTGATATGGGTACAGCAGTACATCCAAGTGTTGCGCAATCGTGCACACATTGCTCGACTTGCTCCCAGAGTTGTGTTGGCGTAGAAGGCTGCCCTCCGAGCGTTTCAGCCTTTGCTTTGCTGTGCCCACGACGCCCGTCTGCTGCAACGGCACACGTCGCAAGGCGTGACTTCTTGCTCATCAGCAAGTGCATCCCTTGTTTGCCTGTGTTTGCAAAGCTCCAGTAGCCTGGGAGCCGGTGGTTTATACAGATTTGTTTTTGCGCCCCAAATTCGTACTGGTTTTTATGTGTGCCACTCACCCATCTGTACACACCAGAGAGCACACGACAGGACCTTTATGTAAACTTTGCACCGTACAGCACTCATGACGACACGGATAAAAGGGACTTGCTGCAACCCTTGCCGCGTTCGTTAAATAAATATAAAGGGCGAGCATGACAGAAGGAAAGGTAGGTGAAAAAAGCTCCTGTGTTTTCCCGACCTCCTATGTGCTCCTGGCTGGTGTACTGGTATTTGTACTGAGTGCCATCTGTAGTTGATCGCATACAAGGCGCACAGCAGCTGCTGTGGGTAGACTGCTGCATCCAGATTCAACAATGCACTGGCTGTCATCTTTAGACGAGATCCAACATACAATCGAACAGCTGCGCCAAGCTGTCTGCTGATTCCTTGTATGCAGCAGACATCTCACCTCAATTGTTTTCAAGGTTACGATGCGCGTTCGTGAAGCATGAAGCAATGTTGGTGTACCGCTGTGCGGCCTCCCATAGTAGTGGGCAGAGACTCCCGTATACGTCGACATTCTTCGTGTGCATTCAGCAGTTAACACCAGTTCCGATGCGTGAAACTAAGGGATGCTCACGAACAAAGGCAGGCAGGCGGCCCTCGATATGCCTGTCTCTGTCTCTCACACACCGTGGTAGGCGGACGGCTCAAGTGAAACGTTCGCCTGTCGCACACCACCAGCCTTGCTATTAGTCATGCGTCGGGAGCCGCCTCTCTGCAGGCGTTGTTTTCGGGCTCTCGCTCCGATTCTCACGATGTTCTTTACAGGCTTGAACGGTCACCTGAAACAGCAAAAAATCCTGTGGTGCGTGATCCATCATTTGCACCCCTTGCGCTCGCGTGGAAGACTCGCCATCAGCCATCTACGAACACCACCCCAGCTTTGCTTCTTGTCAGCCCAGACTATACTGACTCTTCCCCGATTCCCTGAACATTTTGCGCTCGGAAACCGTTGCCTGCAACGGCAGGAGGGCGTGAGTTGTAGCGACGATGCTTAGCCGTGTTGCGAACGCCGGGGCGAGGGGAGCGCTGCGGGCGCGCTTGCCCGTCGCTTCCGCTGGCGGACGCGCCCGGGTACCACCGCTGATCCAGCCTGCCTTCCAGAGCTTTCACGCGGGTGAGAGATTTGTTTCCACTCTCACGATTTTATCACTAATATGTCCAGACTCTTTTCTGTGGAAGAGATGGATTTGTTGTGTGTTTGGAAGAAAGAAACAACGTGAAAATTCCCGGTAATTTTGGAGTGAACGTCCGCGAATGAAATTTGGTACGGGTGTGGTCGTGGCTTAATTTGTGGTGTGTTTGGGGAAGACATGTCGGCACTGAAGGGAGGGAGTGGCGAATGTCGCTCACATGTTGGTGCATTCGTTACGCGGCGGCGTGAGTGGAACTGAGGATTAGCGCGAACCAGCCGTCTCAGGGAGCGGATGGAAGGCTTTGGACGTGCCACTGATCGTCAGCACGGGTTCCGTCGTCCCTACCGCAGAAGGCATCACCCCGACCCCCGTCCCCCGACCCCCCCTTCCATTCACCGAGCTCAGACCAGACGGGAAGCGACCCCGAGCCGCGTCTTTAGCCAAAGCCGTTTTTGAGCACTCAGCTACGGCCCGGTTCTTTTGTTACATGTGTTGTGCTTGCGGGTGGTCCACGGCTACTTCCCAGCCCTCTGGTTCGTTTAGTTTGGCTAGGCCTGTTCGGGAGGTCTAGTCACACATACCACTGCTGTATCACTATTTGCACAAGGACGTTACTTGTTATTTTTGCTTGGTAGGAGGAGTTGGTGGGAGGCGACATAACTACAGTCGACCCCGCTTTAAGGAAAACAAAATTAAGGAAACTCCCCGGGTAAAGGAAACATTTTTTCGCCGAAACACAATACCCCACAGAATGTAAAATATACGGGGGGGTCCATATTCTAGTCCGCGGAGCCCCTTGATACACGTTTTCAGCGTACCCTCTTCGCCAGCAGAGAGGTCTGCTGCTTCATCTGCTGTCTGCGGTATGCAAAAAATCGTTTCACCTACCGGTGCGTCCTCTGCACCTGGGTTAAAACGGTGTGGGGAACCCACGTGCACGATCACGAAGCACGTGTCGGGTATCCACACATGCCCGTGCGGTTGATGGATGCACGCGTTTTGGTCGCGGCATCGGGAAGGAAGGCTACGGACAGCAGAGGGAGTGCACGGAATGTCAGAAGTCGTAGCGTTGAGTGTTTGCGGTTTGTCGGCCATACGCCTTATTGTGTGCTTGTGTCTGAATGGCGCTCCAGTAGAGAGTAACGCAGGAGAGTTTCTGCGTGCGCTCCTCCAGGGGTAAACAAGAGTCACCCGGTGAATTTGAAGTGTCCATCAGGTATTTTCCGTGCTGTGTGGTGGTGGTGTTCAGCAATAAACAATTATTTTCTCGCCGACTTTCAGCCTCTTTTTTTATTCCAACAATGCCCTGCCCAGGGCGCACCTTTTGACGTATGTACCGCCACCATTTACCCCGGGGATGGTGCGTTCTGATCCCCTCAAGTTTAAGGAAACTTCCCCGCGTTAAGGCCCTTGTTTATGGTTTCCAAATCTTTGTCTTCCTTTCTTTCGACAAATGTTGACTTTTTCGACCTTGTGGGCAGTCTGCCTCCCGAACGAGTGCGAGTCAGCTGTTCGACCTTTGAGAACAGTCACAGCTTTGGCTGAGATGGATCGTCTACATGTTTCGCCAGGGTCCACGTTTGATTTTTTCAAGGCGCGCAATTTTCACGCAAGATTTTTCCAACATCAGCTTTTGGACAGATCTTGGCCCAAGATTTGCTCCGACGTGGCCTTTCGGCCGAACCTTCAACGTATTACCCTGCTGGAAACAAATCAAACCTGGCGAAGCTNAATCTTGCGTGAAAATTGCGCGCCTTGAAAAAATCAAACGTGGACCCTGGCGAAACATGTAGACGATCCATCTCAGCCAAAGCTGTGACTGTTCTCAAAGGTCGAACAGCTGACTCGCACTCGTTCGGGAGGCAGACTGCCCACAAGGTCGAAAAAGTCAACATTTGTCGAAAGAAAGGAAGATGAAGATTTGGAAACCATAAACAAGGGCCTAAGGAAACATTTTTCGAAGTAAAACCATATGTTTCCTTAAAGCGGGGTCGACTGTACAACGATAAGCAGCAACGACCAAAATACCGACAACTTCAACAACATTCCCCGAAAACAGCAAACTCTTTCCTTCTCTTTTTCGTGCTGAAGCATAACCNCTTCACTACTCTGTCCCCCCCGTTCCCCCCTGCCCCCCCAAATCTTGTTGTTTCACCGGTTGCTTTGTTCCGTCTTGGAAACGCATGTCTTAAAAGGTCTTCCCAGCAGGGAATCGGCGGTAGACAAGCCGGCACCTTCGAGGGCAGAGGATATCGAGGCGAACAAGAACGCCAAGCTTTTCGGCGACAACCCTCGTCTTGAGTGGATGATCGAAGCGGTACGTTCTCCATCCTATTTTTCATTTATTTCTCTGTTGGAATCTGTTGTCGTATGTACGTGTCCCTGGAGGTGAACAATGTCAAAGCGGTCGTTCTCTCGGCGGCTGTGGTCGTTTTTTTTGTTGTTAAAGCATAGGCAGAGGTACATGTGCATTTTCTAAAATACAGCATGCGGTGATTGGAGGTGCCTGTGTAAGGAATGGGCAGTTGCGCTGCCTCGTAAGACGTGGGTGCAAAAGACTTGCAAGCAACCAATACGTATGTACGCCCCCCCTCCTCACGAACATCATGCACCTATGTCCACCTTGGCATCGCGTGTGCGGAGTCCAGGGCAAGTTGGATAGCGCGAAGCGGCTGGTTCCATTCGCTCTCTTCCTGACGGTCCCGGCCTTGTGCCGCGAGTGGTACGTGATGACGGAGGAGACGATGCTCATGGGATGCTTCTTCCTCTTCATTGGCGCCGCCATGGACTTCGGCGGGGAGGGTATCGGAAAGTACTTTGACGACCAGGTCGGTCGGTTGGTCGGTCGAAATCGTGCAAGGGGTTTTGAAGTCGTGGGAAAGGTTTCGAGGTCGTGGGTTTGGCGCGTCGCCACTGGTGCTACTTGCTGAAATACCGGGTGTTACAGAGTAGTGTGCGTGCTTGCAAGTTTGACGGTGTGTGTCATACTCCCCTTGGAGCTAAGTTTCAAAGCTCGGATCCGCACGAGAACCTATGTTACTGCATTGCCGAGAAGTCCCTTCGCCCGGCGCTGGCACCGTGTTGGTAGCGGCGCCATCCACAATTGATCGTTGGCCCAAAAGGGAATCTGAGGTTCGTGTTGTGTTCGCTGTTTGTACACAAACATGTTTCAGTAATATTTTGGGCGCACCAGCCGGAGTAACACTTCAGTTTTTTGTTTTTTCGCCCCAAGTTCGTTCTGCGATTCTTGACCCAGTGTAAAAATGCAACAGCAGTGCCAATGGTAGAGTGCGGTAGTTCCCAGAGTATTTTTGGTGCAGTCTATATGTTTTTCCTTGATATACCCGCACGGCCCTCATGGCCTTCTCGCTTTGCTCTTTGCAACCTTCGCCCCTTCCCTTGCCTCCAACCTCGTGTATCCCTCTTGGTTCCTCCTGCTGGCAGACGGCGGAGATCAAGCGTGCGCAGCAGTCGGCCGAGGAGGAGCAGATCAAGGTAATATATTTTAGTGTGCACCGGTTACATTGTACCGTTATTTTAATTTGGCTCTGTGATTATGTTGTCTTGGCGTTCGGGGTGTTGCCCATGCACCGCATGGTGATACCACATGCTTGTGTGCGAGCGACCGTGGGTGGAGAAAGAGACACACGCCCTTCTTGGAACACCTCGAAACAGACAGACGCCCACAGCTGCTGTACATGTCTTAAGCGAATCGACCCATCGATGGCCTCTCGATGCGTGAGGCTGGCCCGTTCTTTGTTCAATTTATTTCGAACGAAGACAAGGCAAAACTTAACGTCATCAGTGTCGACGGCAATCGGCGGCCCAGGATAAAACAAACTTTGCGATACGCTGCATATTATGTGTGGGCTTGTTTGCTGATTTTTTCGTGTTCTGTCTCTGGGGTGTTCACATCGCTCGTGCTTGCGCAGCGAGTGACCGAGGACTTGGCGACCGAGAAGGCTCGCCTGGTGGAGATGCAGCAGATGGATGCCATCAGCAAGGCCATCGCGTACGGCAACACGCGCAGGAAGGAAGCGGAGGTGCGTGCGTCGTAAAAAGCACGTGCATGCCTGGTGGACCGTTGGTGGCTGGTTTTACTTTCGCGGTCCCGACCCGCTATTATTGACCAAATTCTGTCGAGAAAAAGCGGGTCAACTTCCGCCCGAGAGACGTGAAATGGAGGCTAAGAAATACAGCTACACATAGCTCAGCGGCGCCTATAAGAAATCCTATGTGAGGACGTAGTCTTTTCTGGACGGTGGCGGCAAATGCAAGAAAATGAGTTTTGACGTTTCTTAGAGCAGACCTCGGATGGTGTGATTTCGTGACGTGTGGGATGGCGGCACATGCGTGTTGTTTGCGGGCGGTGTTGCTCAAAGGAAGTAGACGTGTCTCAAGGGCTAGCCAAGACGGGCAGGGTGCGGCATTTTCCCACGACGTGCAGATAACTGGATGTTTCTGCACGTTCTATAATACACGCACTTACCTCAAGGCCAAACACGCGTCGATGTTGTCCTCTGCCGCGTGTTTTGCGCACCGCTAATGGTTTGTGTGATCGGCTGTTGTTTTTTTAACGTTTCGCCCACTGTTATTTCGGCTTGGTCTGTTGCTCTCTCTCTCTCTCTCGCGCGCGTGGGCGAACAGGCCATGGCGGCGCCACACATGAGCCGCGAGTCCACGGTGAAGTTGCTGGAGGCCCTCAAGGGCGCCAAGATTAAGCGTGTGGCGGACCTCCGCAACGCCGAGATCGCCACGGCGCTCACGGAGGTGGTGGCTAAGGTACGCAGCAGCGATGTACTACCAATACCGTACGGTGGTGGGATGTGGTCCGGAAAAGGAAGGCAAGCTGTTCCACTTGAACGGTTGTGTGGAACGGGAACCTCTGGCTCGGAGGACTGACGGGAAAGCGTTCGTTGCACATCACCCGCCATCATGGAAAAAAAAGTTTTGGGAACCGCTGCTGCCCCTCTTTGTTTGTCGTTTTAAGAGTATGGCACACAGGCATGCTTGTGGCATAGCCACACGCCGTTTTTGTCGCGCACCACGCATCACTAGAGGTTGCGCAACATTCGTCTTGGTGGTGCAGTCAATACTGCTTGTGTGTGTGCCTATGGGATGGATGTCTTTACAGTGAAGCATTATGCCTACCTCTACTCACGTAAGGGCGTCCTCACTGATCCTCAAGGGCGCAATAACGGGTTCCGGTATCGGAGGCTTACCCATTCTTGGATGAAGATGTAGCAACAGGCTCGAAGGTGAAGTCGTGGGCTTGCCGCCCAAATGAAGGTACGCAGGCACCGTGGCAAGGAAGCGGCCCGACTCTTTCGGCTCTCGACAACAGCAGTGACAACCGCCGAGACTAGTATCGAAACCCTTCGATGCTTGTGACCCAACACCCCTTTGTCCCTCCTTCGTCCCTTGTGCAGGTGTCGGCTGACAAGAAGCTGAAGAAGGCCGCCCTCGACAACGCCCTGGTGACCCTCGCAGACCCCAGCAAGGCGGCCAAGGTGGACCCCGTCAGCGAGGTGTTCGCGCAGTACTGGAAGCAGAAGGCCATCGACACCGAGAAGAACAAAAACAAGGTGCGGTGCATAGTGGTACATAGTGGTACAGTCGATCCAACTAATTTCACTCGCATTTTGCGCTCTTTGTTGTTTCACGAGTGCTGCCGTCACCGCCTCTTCTGGCTTTCGTTGTTGTACAGATGGCGCCCGCACTTGAGAACCTCTAATTTCAGCCGAGGCTGGGGTTCTTATTTTGCTGATCATCCTCTTGTGGGCTACAAATGACCGCTATCTAGGTGTTAGTGTGGGGTTCTTAACCGAGCTCACAAACGGTGCTCAAGTTCTTAGCTTCTGATATTTTGCGAGTCTCAATTTCTTAACGCGCTATCTGTATTGGTAGTTTATTTTTTGTCTTTGCAGGTATTCATCCAGCTGCTGCTTCCGCGACCGCTTCGTGGGTGTTTTCCGAATGTTTCGATGTTGTCAGTGTGTTTGTGGTTAGTGAGTGTATGCGCCTACTCGTTGGAATTTCGATGCTTGCCCACGGTATTCCACGGTATATGGGGAAGCAGGAAAATAAAACCCAGCCTTGTCTGCGTCTCAAAATTCTTGGCGAAACAACAGTCTTTACTGGCTGTTTGTTGTGACTTTCTCCTGGAAGATGCCCACTTCCGACCTGCCGCAGGTTGATGTATTACGTTCGATACACACATTGGATTCTATCACGGGTGTTGCATGGTTGTAGGGGAAATGCGGCGCGTGATTCACGGACGCTAAAGCGAAGCTACTTTCAGTAGTCTTCCCGTTACGCCCTTCTTCGATAGCTCTCGTTGATTTCGACACGTAACCCGGTGCCCCCTGGACTTCGCCCTTCCGAATCCTCCGCTGCTGCTGCCGCGGCTGTTGCTGCTGTTGCTGCAGCCGGTCGCCTTGACCCCGGAACAGATCGCCGCCAACGAGGCCGACATCCGGTCCCTTTGCGAGAAAGTGGGCCAGGACCCTGCCATGCTGCTGGCCAGCATGCCCAAGACCTACACGGCTGACACACCCACTCTCTTCAGCTAGACGACGACGACGACGATGACGACCTCTCGCAAAGTGGATGACGCTTGTAGTCGGGTGGGCGCATTAGGTCGCTAGCAGCGTTTATCGTTCGGATGGGATTTAGCACACGGTGATAGTTTTTTCCGTGGTGGTCCATCAGTTAGGAGGGGGAATCAGTGTCGCCTGCAGCAGCAGCAGCAGCAGCCACGTCTGATTTTGGTGGTGGGAGGCAGGCTCACCCTTCCTTTTTCACGTCCTTGTCGTGCGGGGGATGTGCTAATATCGTTGTGGCGGAAAAGTACGGTTAGTCCGGGCCGTGTGTCGGAGCTTCTTTACTCGTCGGCGACTAGCGGAAAAAAGTACGGGTGAGCACGCTTTTTTTTGTTTTGCCCAAATGCAAGCGGGGGCCTAGATTGTGGGGCGCTTCGGAAACATGAGGAACAGGAATGGGGTATAGGGGGGGGTCGCAGTGTAGTTGCGACAGAGGAGAAGCGAGGAGGGGAGGGGGTGGGCTTGGGGGCCCCGTCACCTGGCAGGTTGGAAAGTAATCACGAAAGCCTGCTTTCCTTCGAAGCCGTCTCGCAGTGTACACACCCCTATCTTATTCCCATCTCCGTTATCGAACTCGCGAATCATGAAGGAGCCAGATGCATGGACATCTGGATCCACGGAGCGGTACCTTCTTGCTTTGGTAGTCTCGAAACGCCGTCCTGTGTTGAGCGGGGCACTCGAGCGCGCCGTTAAGCCGACTGACTTCAACAATAGGCACGTAATCGTACGTTGGAGCTAACAATAGCGGTGGTACTCGCTCCACGCTTTTCCGTGGTTTACAAGGCACGAGTTGGTTACAGTAGGTTTTCACACCTTCACGTGCGCTCGCACACCCCATTCTAGACCTGTCGTTCGTTCGGTGCAAATCGACCGCAATGCAGCACGATTCTCCTCATGATCGCTATCTTATCACCACACACGAATATGAATCAGTAGCACGCACGCGCTTGGTCCGTACCACCGGGCATGAGCCCACGGATCTGTGCAGCTGTGTCACAAGCACTCATGTCATCCCTTGGACGTCGCCATGGTCAACCGTGTCTTCATTCAACTCGGGGAGGACGTCGACCAAGACTAGCAGAACAACGATTGACTCACAATAACAATGCCATTCCATATTCGAATGCACGTGACCACGGAAGGCGCCCGCGCGTCAGTTGGACCGGTACGGATATTGAAAGTGTTGAGCAGAGACCGGAGGGTTGTAATAATGTGAAGAGACAACCATTTAAGGAGACTTCATTCGGAGCGGGGCGTGCAATTATTGATAGGACGATACATTCGCGATGCGTACATGGTAAAATAGGACCTAGCTGCATTTACGGTCGTCCTCGCGCATGATCGTAAAGGTCGACAAGAACGCTCTCGGAATTTTTCTCGGGGGGGGG